ATGAGTATAACATCGGGATGAGCTTATATCTTTAAAAACGTCAATATTTAAGAAAGCACAGTGCAATTTAACAAAATTAATTATTTGATAAAGCAAAATTTTATTTATTTATAGTTCACAAACGGCAGTCACGTAGTGACTGCAAGGTTGCTTGTAAATATTAAAAATCATAATATTTATAGCATAATTTGCACAAATACTGAAGAAATATCAATTTCTTCTAAGGATATTTATAATTTTGTTTAGATTAAATATAACTTTTCATTAAAATTCCAAGTGATTAATTATCGTTAAATATGAAACTATCATAACTTCTTACTATAATTATTTATTGATAATATTAATTAAATTCTGATTAAACATTTACAACTAAGTGATAAAATTTCTCACATGACAGCAAATATAATTATATAAACATGGAGCGTAATTTTCCAAGCAACCAGTTTCTTATGATCTAAGTATTACAGACATTAACTTGAGCGGGTATAAGATGATAGTTATCAACCTGTTATCACTTGTCTCACATCATAATTATCAATTTATCAATATCGAGTAGCCTGTAATCACTAATCAGTATGGTCAGTTCGATTACAATTGAATAGTAGTAATATGAGAATATTATTAATTGAAAACAGTGAGTTTTAGTCCGTGAATGTCACTGTAACTTTCTGTAATATAAATCGTATATCTAGTGAACGAGGTTCCGTTCTAAATATCAATTTAGAGCAAACGACCTGTCGTGATCCTGTCTTAGAGAGTAACCCAGAATGTTAAATGTCGCCCAGGGCATTTAATACTGTAGATCATCAGTTCACCTTGTTTGACTTGACAATTATGCTAGGTTCTATAACTCTTATTGACAACTTTTTTTTTTTTTTCATTTATTCATTGAAATCTTCTTTTTTTTATGATCTACATTTATGTTTAAAAAAAAATTTTTTTTTTTCAATTTAATAGTTCGATTACAATTGAATAGTAGTAATATGAGAATATTATTAATTGAAAACAGTGAGTTTTAGTCCGTGAATGTCACTGTAACTTTCTGTAATATAAATCGTATATCTAGTGAACGAGGTTCCGTTCTAAATATCAATTTAGAGCAAACGACCTGTCGTGATCCTGTCTTAGAGAGTAACCCAGAATGTTAAATGTCGCCCAGGGCATTTAATACTGTAGATCATCAGTTCACCTTGTTTGACTTGACAATTATGCTAGGTTCTATAACTCTTATTGACAACTTTTTTTTTTTTTTCATTTATTCATTGAAATCTTCTTTTTTTTATGATCTACATTTATGTTTAAAAAAAAAATTTTTTTTTTTTCAATTTAATTATTTAAAATTAAAAAATTTTATTTAAAGAAAAATTGAAAAAAAAAAAAATTAAAAATTATAAAAAAATTTTTTTTTCCTTCTTTACTTTAAAAAATACAATCCAAAAAATTTTTCCCGCTAAATAATATAATTTGAGAGAAATTTTATTATTTAAGTAATTTTTTTTTGTTTTAATAATAAATCTCTTTAATAATTATTTTAATAAATAAAAAAAAAAGTTTTTTTAAACAAAAATTATCTACAGTAAAATTTTTTTTTCTACTTATTTTATAAATCAGCAACAAAATAAATATTTATTGAATGTTAAAAAATATTTATTAAAATTTAATAAATTAAATAATTGTCTTCAAATAAATTAAATTATTAATAGTTAATAAATTCCTCTATCAGTGTAATTACAATAAAATTTATTAATTTACTTTATAATAAATATTACTTCGGATTTTTAGCTATTCATTATGAATAAAGAGTTTTAAAATTGAAAAAAAAAATTTCTATTAAACCTATAAAAAAATGACAAAATATTAATTTTAATTTTACCCGTACAATAATAATTGAATTAGTTCTTAATTAATTAAAATTAACTATTCAAAAAATTTATTTAAATTAATTTATTTTAAAAAAATTTTATAAAACTACTTATGAAGACGTTAGAGAAAAAAACTGCAATAATTCTCGCACTTATCCTATATACGTATTAAATGTCGAACAAAGAATGAAAAAAGAAGGAAAATAAGGCAATTCTATTTCTGGAACTCGAAAAATTCTAGCGGATCGTGTAAACGCATAAGCACGTGTCTTTTATCCGTTATAATGACATTATTACAAAACTCTATATTCCGTACAATTAACTCGAACAAATTTACTACAATAAATAAAATAAATCTTTATAAATAAATATATTTATTTAAAGTTCAATCTAAGAAAAAAAAATTGTAATTGTCTTGACATGTTTCTTCGACCCTTTGAACTTCAATTAGAAATTTATATTTATATTATTTGCAATAGATAGGTATTAACCTGATTACAAGTTCGAATAATTTTTTATTGTGTACTTACGATAATAAACAATAGCATACAATAATACTGCATAGAATATGTCAGGTAAATTATGTCCAGTCACGTATGAGATAAAGTCTTTTCATTTGAGTAAATCAATTGAAAATAAGTCGCGGGTATATAAGATTAGTTGACATACATTTTAAATTAATGTTTTTTTAAAGAAATTTTTAAATAAATAACTTTTTTATCAATATTAATTTAACAATTAAATTATTGGAGGTAAAAAAAAATTTAATTTTATTGTAATTAAATTCAATTCAAATGATTATTTTTAATTTTATCAAATTTATTATAAAAATTAACCATTATCTGACATGAAATATCTTTAATGAAAAATTAAAAATTTTCAACAAATTTCTTATTATAACATTTTTTTTAAATACAAATTTTTTGTCTCACCATGTAAATTTATTTTATAAATTTTATTTTAAATTGAAATACGTGTTATGTAAGAAAATACAAGCTCATCTCGGTAATACACTCATCGAGACCTTTAATTTGAGTACCCACATGTATTTTGCATATATTTTGTATATTTAACATATATCATATATATTTTTGTAGATATAAGCTCATTCTGACTTTACTCTCATTGAGACCTTTCATTTGAGTACCCACATGCATTTTTGATATATTTTTTATATATACATATATATATATAATATATATAAATATATAAAATATATAAAAAATTGATGTGGGTACTCAAATAAAAGCTCTTGATGAGTGTAACATCGGAATGACCTTATATCTTCAAAAATGTCAATAATTAAGAAATCCCATTGTATATTCTAAACTAATGATATTTCTAACGATATAAGCTCATCTAGATATTACACTCATCGAGACCTGTCATTTGAGTACCCACATGTGTTTATCATATATTTTATATATATCACAAATATCATATATATTAAATATATAAAATATATGAAAAATTGATGTGGGTACTCAAATGAAAGGTCTTAATGAATGTAACATTGAGGTGGGCTTATTTGGAAATAAAAAAATACAAAATAATAAAAATTTTTTTTTTTTTGAAATTTCTACATAAAAAAATTAATCTTTAAAAAAAAATAACTAAATTAAATATAAATTTTTTTTTTATCAACAGAGTGTGAAATGCGAGTCACCACTGGTAGACAGTAGTGCCCTGCCACTGGAACACAGATCAGTATACGGCCCACCAGCTCAATACGGCCCGCCACAATCTCACGGTGCAGAAGAAAACTGGCCATTAGCGTCGCCGGACACGCCGCAAATAAAGAACCTCCAGGTGCAATGTGAAAAAACGCACATGCGAGTAAACATAGAATTCGACCGGCCCTTCTACGGGATGATATTCAGCAAAGGTTTCTACTCGGATCCTCACTGCGTCCACTTGAAACCGGGCACCGGTCACTTGAGTGCGACTTTTGAAATTTACCTGAACTCCTGCGGCATGAGCAGCTCAGGAAATCACAATGTCGCGGCTTACGGCGCACCTACGCCTTCCGGAAGCTATGTAGAGAACACAATTATTATCCAGTACGACCCTTATGTGCAAGAAGTCTGGGATCAAGCAAGAAAATTGCGATGCACCTGGTACGACTTTTACGAAAAAGCCGTCACATTCCGTCCCTTCCAAGTTGACATGCTCCACGCAGTCACTGCTAACTTCTTGGGTGACAACCTGCAGTGTTGGATGCAGATCCAAGTTGGCAAAGGTCCTTGGGCTTCTGAAGTATCTGGCATTGTCAAAATTGGACAGACCATGACCATGGTCTTGGCTATTAAGGACGATGAAAACAAGTTTGATATGTTAGTCAGAAATTGCGTCGCTCATGATGGCAAGAGAGCGCCTATTCAGCTTGTTGATCAGTACGGATGTGTTGTCAGGCCGAAAATTATGTCCAGGTAAGGCTTGTGGGACCTTAAAGTCCGCATTTAATAAATAAAATATCTAATTTAAGAAAAATATTTTCTTCAAAATTTTTTTTTTCTCTATTTAGGAAATTTATTTATTTGTTAAGTGCTTTAGTATTAACGAAATTTATAAAATTTATAAAATTACAATATACCATATGAATCATAAATTACTACGCAATTTATTAAATAAATAAATAATTCAGGAAATTAACTTGAAAATTGGAAAATTAAAAATCAACAGAAAATTTTATAACACTAAAGTTAGCAGACGTCTAAAATTAAAAAAATTTTTTTTATTAATTAAATTACAACTAAAATAATATTTATAAAAAATATTTTGTAATTAAAGTTCATTTTTTTCTTTCGGTATATCATCACAACTCAAGAGTTTATTATCGTCGATTGATACAATTATATTTTTTATTTACTAACATTTTTATTTTATTAAAAATAATTTTATTTTCTTCTACACTAAGAGAAAAAATTTCTTTTGAAAAAATAGACAGTACTATAATAAGAAATTAATTTATTTAAAATTTTAAACAAATTAATTTCTTCTTACAACAATGCTAATTTTTTCCAAAAGAAATTTTTTCTCTAAATGTAGAAATTATTATTATCAATTTTTTATTTAATTGTAGTAAATTTATTTTATTCTGCCTTTTTTGATACTTAATACATAAAAAAAAAAAACCTTAATTTCAATTGGATATCCTACAAAATTTTTTTTGAATTTAATAACTTTTTTAAAAGCTACTTTTTATCTCTTTGAAAATAATTTATAATATCTATTATTTTAATTTGAGAGCAATAAGTTATCGAACGAAGGATTTATGAAATTTTTTTTTTTTTAAATTAAAATGCTTTATCCTAACATTCTTAAAAAAATTTATGACACTAAAAGTTAGCAACGTCTAAAAATTTTTGATTTTTTTTATAAATTAAATTACAACTAGAAAGATATTTCTAAAAAATTGCACTTATAGCTTTTTAAGTTTTTTACATATGAAATTTATTTTTTAATTAAAATTTTTTCAATAAAAAATTTCTAAAAATTTTTTAATATCGGCTAACTTAATTTTCATGAAAATTTTTATGAAAATGAAGTTAGCCGACATTTCAAAATTTTTAGAAATTTTTTATTGAAAAAATTTTAATTAAAAAATAAATTTCATATGTAAAAAACTTAAAAAGCTATAAGTGCAATTTTTTAGAAATATCTTTCTAGTTGTAATTTAATTTATAAAAAAAATCAAAAATTTTTAGACGTTGCTAACTTTTAGTGTCATAAATTTTTTTAAGAATGTTAGGATAAAGCATTTTAATTTAAAAAAAAAAAAATTTCATAAATCCTTCGTTCGATAACTTATTGCTCTCAAATTAAAATAATAGATATTATAAATTATTTTCAAAGAGATAAAAAGTAGCTTTTAAAAAAGTTATTAAATTCAAAAAAAATTTTGTAGGATATCCAATTGAAATTAAGGTTTTTTTTTTTTATGTATTAAGTATCAAAAAAGGCAGAATAAAATAAATTTACTACAATTAAATAAAAAATTGATAATAATAATTTCTACATTTAGAGAAAAAATTTCTTTTGGAAAAAATTAGCATTGTTGTAAGAAGAAATTAATTTGTTTAAAATTTTAAATAAATTAATTTCTTATTATAGTACTGTCTATTTTTTCAAAAGAAATTTTTTCTCTTAGTGTAGAAGAAAATAAAATTATTTTTAATAAAATAAAAATGTTAGTAAATAAAAAATATAATTGTATCAATCGACGATAATAAACTCTTGAGTTGTGATGATATACCGAAAGAAAAAAATGAACTTTAATTACAAAAACAATTTTGAAAAACTCATCTTTTTTATTCGAGTAGAAAAATTCTTTAATAAATTTTTCGTTTTTTTTTTTTTAGTGTAGTTATCTAGGCCTCTCTAACCACTATGAAAAAATTTAAGATAAAAAATTCTTGAACCTCAACCGGTTGTCTTTAAAATAACTTTAAGGGGACATAGAAGCTTAGAATTACATGAGTTTTTAATATTGTTTTCTTTTACATCAAAATAACAACGAAAACTTTTGAAATTTTAAAGGACTATTATATTATAATTCAAGTATACAAAAATGATTATAAAAAAATATTATTTCTAGTAATTTAAAAATAATTATTAAAAATATAAGATAAAATACCCAGTTATTGACACTGGCCTAGTTATTGACACTTGCAATTTTATTTTAATTAAAAAAAAAACCAAATCAACTTTAATAAATTAAAAAATATAATTTTTGAATTATAAATTTTAAGATAGGTAATTGACTTTTTAAAAACATTTTATTTTATTTTTTAATTTATTTTTTAACATTTTATTTTTTATCTTATTTTTTAATTTATTTTAAAAAATTTTATTTTTTTAATTTATTTTTAAAAATTTTATTTTATTTCATTTTTAAATTTATTTTTTAACATTTTATTTTTTTATCTTATTTTAAAAAAATTTATTTTTAAAAATTTTATTTTATTTTATTTTTTAATTTATTTAAAAAAAATTTTTTTTTTTTTCGAAGAAATAGCGCATAGTTAAAATTTATCAAAATTTTCCAATTTATTATTCCAGATTCCAAAAAATCAAGAACTTCGGTCCAAGCGCATCTGTAGTAAGCTTCGCATACTTCCAAGCGTTCAAATTCCCGGACAGTATGAACGTCCACTTCCAATGTGTAATTCAAGTTTGTCGTTACAACTGTCTTGAGCCAAAATGTGGACACCCAGGTCTTGAATATGGAGCACCATCTAATGCAATTTCTCAAGAGTACGGCGCTCCAGTTCACCAGAGTCTCGGCTCGGAGTATGGAGTTCCTCCGGTACCAGAATATGGTATTCCACCAGCGTATCCTGACCCTCGTCATCCAAGTGGCCCGGCTGGCGCTTACAGGTACTGATAAATTTTCTATTACAACAAAATCAATATATATTTTTAAAATTACTGTCAACATCAACACACTAAATAAATTATCTTCACGCTAGTGAACCAAATCCTGACGTGGTTCCCGCACCCCAAGCTCAAACTTCATCATCTTCACCGAGCTCAACCCCAGGAGACTCTACAGCTAGCAGCCCACCCCAAAGCGGCCAAGATGGTGCTCATCTAGGTCCTCCTCCACTACCTGGTCATCTTGGAGCTTACCAAACTGTAAAGAGGAAAGGAACCGTCGGTTCGGATGAATTGGAAGGAAATCTTGCGACTCTTGGTGGTCGACCAAGATCAGTTGAGGGATTACCAGCTGAACTCAGAGGTGCTAGGAAGCGCCGACACCTTGACACAATGGAATTCGACCCAGTTAGTATTATTGATAAATAATATTAGAACTATTAGTAAAAAAAAATATTAGGCTAACAATATTAAAAAAAATTAGAGAAAAAAAAGTTGTTGGATTAGACTGGATAGCCAATAAGCTGAAAATTTAATGACCTACACGGAAAGAACAAGATGACACTGGATACCATCTCAGATTATACTCAGTGACATCTGAGGCGAAAAAAAACTTTACAGATGGTATAGTATAATCCAGATTATACTGAATAATATCTGGATTATACTCATTGTAATCTGGATTATACTCATTGTTATCTGAAATTTTTTTTCACTCAGTATAATCTGGGATTATAT